AGAGCTCCATAACGTCCATAAGTAGCCTTTCTGTATTCCATCTATATGCAAAATTTTCCTTTTCCTTTTTCTTTTTTTCTAGAATAAGGCCCGAAAAAGTGAGTTCACTGCAGGTTGCTGTAACTGCAGTAACTCTTATTCTCTTAACAATGTTCCTGTACAAATAAAACCCTTGAAAAGTTGAAATCGAATAAAGATGTCAAGATATCACCACACCAGTCAATAGCACAAATCCTCGTTCGGCCAGGGCAGAAGAGTGAGCCCAGACCAGCCGGCTCAAAACTGGATAAGCTACCAGTACCAAACTCTGAAGTCATGATAACGTCGAGATAGAACAAGCCAGCACAGGCACTGGATGGGATTCTCAAGTGGGAGGTAACAAGACACAGACAGTAGAGTCTAGAGCAAGGGTGGGAGATGATGACAAAGTATCACAAGTGACCGCTTCACCACGCCTTCAAGTGCCCTCGCCGCGTCCACGTCTCGCCATCAAGTGTGTTTTGGGTGGGACTACTTATGTATTTTGTATTGAGGGAATGCCAATGGCATAATTGTAAATACAAGTATGATAGTTCAATATTTTGATGTAACCTTCTTCAGAGCATCAAAAGCTTAAGTTACTCTTTGAGGGAGGTAGGTAGTTGAGTGGTGCCAATACCATATAAAGGTTAAGGACGATGTCCCCTCGACACAAACTTGTATGTTTGTACTTGACACCGTTTAATGCAATATAAATCATCTTTTGACAAATTCATGTGCCATCTTGTTGCCTTTTCTTTTGTTGTTGCTTATCTCATAGGCTTACTCGACCCACAACGAGTGCCACACAGGGCCTCACCATCTAGCCCCGTGACAGTTGGTATCAGAGCCAGAGCTCTGCTACACATTAGACCCTGTCGATCGACTCACATCCAGCACAAACAATGAAATGCAACCACGACACCACCGATGACATACTACATGGGCTGTCTCAAGCCCACAACACTGACAAGGCACCAACCGACGAACCTTCCAAAAGCCAAGCCCCGAAGGGCCACACAACCAAAGCAGGCAAGCAGGACAAGTCCGTTGATCAATTAGCAAGCATGGACATGCATGTCTTGCGTTGCAAGGCAACCGTGAGCGAGACCCGAAATCGGGTTAATGAACTCCAACTAAACATGGAGACTGTTGAGCACGCCATGGTAGAGCAGGAAACCCATGTCAATGGAACCCTCAGAGAGATCCATGACACATTGCAACGTTCCCAAGCCAACTCCTCCCAAAGCAGCCTTCAAGGCATGATGGACAACTTTCAAGCACAATTGGATGAGATGAGGGGTGAGCTATTCCTCATAAAAAGGGTGATTGCCAATTCAACTAGCACCTCATCTGCTCCAACCACACACATAAAGATACGACAACCGACACCCTACTCAGGTGCGCGGGATGCCCTGGAGCTAGACAACTTCTTGTGGAAACTTGAGCAATATTTCTATGCGACTGGCATTCATGATGATCACATTCAGGTATGCATAGCCGCCATGGTCAAGAAAGAGGCCACGACTTAACAGTCAAACAAAGCCCACAAGAGGCTGAAATACATAGACATCACCCTTGGCAGGAGGCCAACTCAAGCCTTGGTAGACATCGGGGCAACACACAATTTCATCTCCCGGGCAGAAGCTGAGCGCCTTGGCTTAACCACCATAAAACAAATGGGCTGGGTCAAGGCTATCAACTCGGGGGCCAAAGCAGTCGAAGGCATGGCTCGTGGAGTAGAGCTCCAAGTTGGCCATGGAGGGGCAACATCAACCTAACTGTGGTTCCCTTGGATGATTTCCATGTTGTTCTCGGAGTGGAGTTCCTAACACAGGAAGAAGCAGCACTCATGCCTCACATCAACAGATTACTCATCTTAGACGAGCGCTCCCCTTGCATGATCTCGGTGACAACAACACTTCAGGTACATGGGAAGCAACTTTCAGCCATTCAATTGTACCAAGAAGCAGATGTCCACCTAGCTAGCACCATGTCAGCAACAGAGAAGGTCCCCTCTTTGACACGTCACATTAGCACCATAATGGGTAAAGAAACCATCACGAAGAAGCAATCTCCGCCCAAGGCGTTCCAACACCAGCCTCAACAACAGTGCCAACATCAGCGTAACTGTCATCCAACGCTGAAGGTGCCCAAGAAACCAAAGGCCATCCCTAACCACAACCATTTCAAACACACCCACTATAGGGGAGAGCGAGTGCCATCCTACCCACATAGGTACCCTTCCTGCAAAAGCCATCACTCCATCCCTCCTAGGAACCTTGCGAGGAGCCACCATGGGGGGACAAATCATTTTGGGAAATTAAGTCTTGACAATCCAAAGCCCATTTTGCTCTGAACCTGGCCCCAACTTTCCCTTCAACCAAGCCAAACAATCCTCTATCTTACCTTGAAGTGGCCAGGAAAGGAGTGAACCTAGACCATAGCCATAAGATTCCCCAACACAATGAACACTTTCAAGACTAACCATCAAGACCATGCCCGAGCCCTGGGAGAGATAGTGTTCATGGAGCAGCTGAAGAATCCTCCTCCACCAACAGCCGGATCAAAGCATCAAGTAAGAGTTGGTCTTCGAGGACGAAGACCAAATTGAGTTGGGGAGACTCACAAGTGACCACTTCCCCGCACCTTCAAATGCCTTCGCCGCTTCCACGTCTCACCATCAGAGTTCCATCAAATGTGTCTTGGGTGGGGCTACTTATGTATTTTGTATTGAGGAGATGTCAATGGCATAATTGTAAATACAAGTATGATAGTTCAATATTTTGATGTAACCTTCTTCCATAACATCAAAAGTTTAAGCTAATCTTTGAGGAGAAATAGGTAATTGAGTTGTGCCAATACGGTGTAAAAGTTAAATACGAATTCTCCTCAATACAAACTTGTGTGTTTGTACTTACAACCATTTAGTGCAATATAAATCATCTTTTGACTAATTCGTATGCCATCTTTTTGCCTTTACCTTATTGCTTATCTCATAGACTTACTCGATTCACAGGGAGTGCCGCACTGGACCTCACCATCTAGCTCCGTGACAGAAGGGGATAGATGATTTGGATATAAACAGCTTTTGTACATAGACAAACAATCCTAGGAGTTAAACCTTGTGTCGGTTGCAATTCATCAGTTCAGACTTGGAAACACAGCCCTGGTTGCCCTCCTTACTTAGAACACACACAATCACAATAAGTGTCGTTCGTTCCCCCAAATTTTTGAAAAAAGAATAAAGAATAAAGCGATTCGTACCAATTTCCAGGTCCCAAAACGACCTCGACATTACAGTTTCCAAGTTGCAATGTCCATCGAAACATTAAAAAAAAAAAAACAAATTAATATAAAAATTTACCTGTCGGTTGATCATCAACCTGTCGTTCTCGAAAAATGGACGCATGAATTATCTTCAAGAAATGAAAGCGCTTAAATGGGGAGTATTGATCGAGGGAATCGTGTTGGCGTTTCCGGCGACGGTTCATTTCTTAGCAGCCACGAAGGACGACTTGCCCAAGGAGATCGGATTCAGGGATAAGGATCGTCGGACATGAAGGCAGTTCTCTTCTCTCGAGAAGAATTACCATCATCTCCATTTCAATAACCACCATTCAGTCAGTCAGCAACAATACTGACTTGGGCGGTTGTCATAATACTCACACCCATCACGCGGCACTGTCCGTGATAGCGATTAGCATATGTGAAGGAGCGTTCCCACCCTCGCCTGCAGAGTGCAGACCACCAACGCACACTCGCTGTTGTATCGTACTTTGAGTTAGAATTCCAGGATTGGCGCTAGTCCGATAGAGCCTAGAGGAAAGGAGAATTCGAGGATTCCGCTGAGATCAGATTGGCGCTGGTACACTAGAGGAAAGGGTTATTAGTTATTAGTTATGATCTTGTGTCGACCCTGTGGTGCTCGGATGGATTCGGATGCCGTATGCTTTTTCCTCCTCTTTCTTTATATTGCACTTCTTCCATCTAATAAGCCTGTGATAATCTATCAAAAAAGCCTGATAGGTTCATTGCTTCATATCAATATGACCATATACTCTGATCTGATCCAGTGTTCTTCGTGGGGCGTGGGTCTCAGCTAAATCACGGGTTTCATAGATAAGACGGGATAACCATGTCCGGTTCTTGCAACATTGCCTCTAATAATTCATGTCAGTGACTCAGTGTTACTGCAAGGATCTTAGATTTCAAGTTCAGAAGGCTCTCTTTGTTTTCAGTGCAAATCTGAACCGGCCGGATAGAAATTTTGCACTGGTTCACTTTTGAATCCATTTATTCATAATTATAATTTATACTTATATCTCAACAGGAACTGATATGCAAATTTTGCACCACCTCTCCCACCTTAATTCTCCTTCCTTTTAAGTGTAGACCACATTATCTTGCGGCGTAACTCCCCCCTATTCGAATGGGATGGAAATGGCATAATTTTATAATTTTATAGGAAAATTCCTGAACAGTATCCTGAATTTTGGGGTTGTGTCAAGTGAGTCCCTAAACTTCAAAACTTGCTTTTATATTATCTTGAACTTTCAAATTGTTTCTAATAAGTCCCAATCGTTAATTGATCATTAGTGAACACCATCACGTGATATCAGGTGTGCATTAAATAATTTCAAAATAACAAAATTATCCTTTATAATATTTTCTAACCATTTTACCCATTTGGTTCAAGTGTTATAAAAGATACTTTTGTCATTTTGAAATTATTTAATGTGCACCTAATATCATATGACAGTATTGACTAACTGTCAACACACAGTTTGAAAATTCAGGATACCTCAAAGTTCAGAATACTGTTTAGGTATTTTCCCTAATTTTATCCTCACAGAAATAGGATATGAAACAAAAGTAAACCAAATTTTTACACTCCATGCATTTAGACCAGTGCAAACAAACTGAGCCTAAAGTAAAACAAATCGGTAAAGCAATGGGGCAAAAGAAGAAAATTTGCTGGAGTCCTGACTCCCGAGGAATCTGATACTGAGGGAGTAATTAAGGAAAAGACATGACTTATAAAAATCTGTCCGATGCAGAACAAAGGACCACAACCTACACTCTATGCACCAACGCCCACCCTGTGAATTGGCACCTGCGGACAGTACATCTTTATATTTTGTAGCTTAATTACTAGCAACTAGGAAGCAGGATGTCGAACCCATGCATCTAAATCAGATCAGTGAGATCAAAAGAAAATAAGATGCAATAGTGAAGGAGAAGCCGGAATATTGATAAGAGATTTCAACGATGTGGAAATGGAAATGGGAATATAGAAACCTTCATCTCAATGTTGTTGGTTTTAGTAAGCTCGAAGACACAGCAATCTCCTTCTTCCAGGTTATTGTCCCGAGCAAATGCAGAACAACCTTTGCTAATCCTAGCCCGACCTCTTCTGTAAATGAACCGGACGTTCCACTTTCTTCCATCTGAAACACATAGTAGGAACAGTTTCATTTGAATCCAAAACTCACCTGATATAAATTAAAAAGAGCTAACATATTTAAAGCAAAAGATATATTTGAAACTTTTAGCTTAAAAGGACTCAAACGAGAAAAGAAACTTGTTTAGAGCCAATAAAAGACGGATCTCCTCTCCGAAACTGTAAAAATTTGTGCCATTTGTATATTCATGTTACTCACCAAACTAGGTCCTTTGCACAGATGCCATGATTCCATGATGACGGTGAAGAAAGGATTCTCAGACTGGAACTGATGGCCATAGATTACTCTACATTTTTCTTCATTTACCACTGACTTTCTCTTTGACACAGAAACTGTAACAATTTGTGCCATTTGTATATTCATGTTACTCACCAAACTAGGTCCTTTGCACAGATGCCATGATTCCATGATGACGGTGAAGAAAGGATTCTCAGACTGGAACTGATGGCCATAGATTACTCCACATTTTTCTTCATTTACCACTGACTTTCTCTTTGACACAGAAACTTTAGATCGTGCCCTAATATTAGCAGTGACTTCGCTCACCTCGTGTTCCGTGGATGAAGTATATCCACCTGCATTCCGAGCTAGCTATCAAGTCATTAGAGAATAAAAACCAGGGAATACCTCACCTAACAGCTTAAGCTATTAGGTTGAATGGTTCCTTGATACTAGTTAATTATAGGGTAAACTGTAAGCAATTTGTGTAACATGAAAAGAACACGGGGCATTAAAGAACTTACGAGGCTCACCTATTTGGTTCTCTTGCTCTGGTGATGAAATTTCTCCATTTCCATATTTTGGCTTTGGACAAGGTGATTCAGTATCATTTCTAGGAGTCTCTGTTTGTTCACTCCCATTGACCAGCTGGAGATCCACATCCCTAGATGAAAATGGAGCAAATGACAGGACATTCTTTGTGTTCTTAGTCGATTTTTGATGGTTGTCATTCATCCGATCGGGAGTGATGGAATGATTTGGAGCCACCCCAACTTCATTCTCAAAATTGAATGCATTGTCTTGAGGATTGTTCTGTTGGACTGATTTGAATGCATTCCCAGCAGCTAATGTTCTCAACTTTCCATTATCTTCAGTTTTCTTTCTTTTATATGTAGCAACAATAGCGGGTTTAGATGGCAGCATCTCCGAGCAAGTTTTATCTCCATTAAAGGGCTGACATGAATGCCTCTGCAATGGCGTATTATCAGTACTCGCTTTGGCCGTTCTTTGATTATCGCATCCATCAATGACCTTTTGTGAATAAGTACGGGTAGGAAACTCAGCCAAGAATTCCATGCAATCCTCCTCTTGTCTTTCCCCCTTGTCTACAAGTTTCCCTTTGTCGAGATTCTCTTCTTCATAATTCTTCGGATAACGTGGATACTGTATCTCAGACATGTCCAATATAAAAACACAAAAACAAGAATCTCCATCATATCTGAAGAAGAGAATTTTCCCTTCACACAGACGGTAATATTCAACAAATTCTTGCCAACCATTCTGGAGCCAAACCCTGCCATCGGCGTCCTTGCTCAATCCTATATCCCAGATATTAGCATCCCGAACCATGAGAACTGCAACACTTGACACATCTTCTCCAAATTTCCTAATAAACTTTCTTGGAATCCCCTGTGAAAACAGAACAACAATAACAAAGCATCCTTTTAAAATCGTCGACGGTGGATCCACAAGCCTTGTGGTTGAATTAATTGTGCAAAAGGGAATGAAACCTCTGTTCTAACCATGATTTGCCAAAACTTAGACAAAGCATATTCATTCGGCAGGATGGTAGATAATTACATCATCCTAAAGCCGCAGCTAGTCTTAGCTAGACAATAGAACAGATATCATCTACTCATGAAGCCTAAAGCTAACGAAACATATTCCTGATCATTAACCCCTTTACAGTATTTCTGTTTGTAAAAGAAATTTTGAGAATATAAGAAGGAACATTATATATTTACAGAAGTACAGAGAACTAAAAATAAGATGCATTACAAGATGATCTGGGGAACTAAAAATATATATTTTTTTTTAAAGAACGAACTTACGAGCCTTTCGGTGAAATCTTCGCCAATCAATATCTTGAAAAAACAAGGTTTTCTTGCTGGTTTTCTACCCATTTTAGTTTGATTCTTGCAGGGAGAGATGCAGAGCAAATGGAGTCCAGAGATGGGGGTGAGAGGGAGACGTGACTTGTATTTACATTAGCTTGATTGTTACGAATATCTCACATGGATGTACGATATGATCATCGCCATCAAATTTTGGCGGGATGCTTTTTTCAGTTATTCAAAAGGCTTCAAGGGATCTGACCGTTGGATCCACTCCTAAAAACAAAAAAAAAGTAGGGTAAAGTACACAAACCTCCCCTGAAGTTTCTAATAATAATAAAAGTCTCCCCTTTACTTTCACTTTAACAAACACCTCCCCTGAAGACGTTAGATTGATTACATCAATTTTTTCAAATCCTTTTATAAATTATTTTAAATAGCAGTAGACAAAAACCTCCTTCCATCTCTTTATTCTCCTCTTTCATCCTCCCTGAAACTCCAGGTATTGATCTCGAAAAATCTTCAGCTTGATCAAGCTGGGAGAGATCGAGGTGGCAGAGACACAGGACTCCGAAACATTTTGGACGGAGAACTCTATGTTCCATGTCACGCGGTATGTAGAGTATCGACATCTCGAACATCTCTGCGCTCCTCTCGTAATCTTTCGATCGAACATGATATACTCTGCTATGATTTATAAAAAGTAAAAAAAAAAAAATGACAGAAATTTTAAAAGAAGAAAAGAAACTAGATATGGGAACAGTTGGTGATATATAAATGGACCGGTTTTGGATAGGACCCCGATCAGTCCAAAATCAATTTAGACTGATTGGACGGATTAAAAATACATAATGGATCGGACCAATTTAATCCAAAATATTTATTAGATTGGATTGGACCTGGTCTGTCCTAATAAATTTATATTAGATTTGGTTGGATTAAGCCAATATCCCGTTCATTGATATAAGATAAGAAATATAGGTGTTAATAGATCAGGTTTAGGTTGAAATCAATCTAAATTAAAATGAATTTGAATAAATTGAATCGGTCCAAATTATTCATTGAATTAGATTGGACCTGGTCTATTTGTAATGAACTCACATTAATCGGATCAAATTAAACTAAATCCACTCCAATCGACACCCCTACATATCAGAAGGTTTGAAACTTGCTAGTTCCACAAGACCATGTGCATTATTGTTCTCTCCTTCACCAGTCTCTCCAACAAAAAGGACAACCCCCTTGTCGGAAACCAACTCTGCCACCATTTTGCCATCAGACATGAATCATCATTGCCACTGCTGGTTATCTTGTGGACTACCCTCACTAAAATTGCAGCGCTGATGTGTTATTACCTCCTCAATCAGGTTCAACTATGACATGAAAAAAATATGATATCTGAAAAACTTCTGCCCAATAATCTGAAATCATAAACGTACTAACTAATCAGGTGTTATTTATCAAAATTCATGAATGGATTTTGATTCGTCAAAACTCTTCCCATACCATATCTTTTCCGCATTATAGATTTTCCCCTCCCGAACAATGCCAAAAACAACCCTTTGTGTCTAATCCTGCTACAACGGGGGCCTAAAATTAAGTTTCAATCGCCAAAGCCCAAATGCCCTCCGGGTTCCCTTATTTATTGTCAAGCTCCTTAGTTTTTTTTTCAGTTTCTTTACATTTCGCCAATCCCAGCCAAGCAAGCCTTCATCGCCAACACTGTCTAATGGTGTTAGGTTTACGCTCTTTTCTCTTGCCCTAAAACAGAATGGTAAATAAGTGTTGTTATTCAAATGAGGGCAGTTTTTGATATTTTAAAATATTTTAAACGATGTCCTAACGATAGATAGGGGTAACTTCGTACCTATACATGTTTTTCATCTACGTTACCGAGGGAACGGAGGTTAAAATGAAACTTGATGAAGGAAGATTTGGCCCGACTTCGCAATCACTCCACGTGGCAAAAATAAATAGCTCGGCACTTAAAGCAGCGTATCCAGGGCGCAAGCACCAAAGGGAAGAAACCAGCAGTCCGAACTCCTTTCGAGGAGTCCGAACTCCACTTGAGGAGCCCGAACTCCCTACGAGGAGCCCGACCTCCCTACTAAGAGCTCGAACTCCCTACGAGGAGCCCGAACACTCCCCTAAGCCCCGAGCCACACAAAACAGTGACCCGAACTGGCCCACCTCATGGCAGTTCGGGACTCTCCTCTATCCGAACTCAAGACTTCACCTCGCACACCACTCCAGCACTTCGCCTCCAGGACGCCGAACTAGACTGACCACATCGTACCTGACACCGAAGGAGTCTGTATCCAGGGGCGGCGCACCTGACTGACTTGGGATCTGACGCTTGACAGCTGCACTTCAACGGCCACCTGCCACCGCCACCTGCCACCGCCATCTCCAGTTACAGAGACGGCTCCGACAAAAAGAGCAATGGCAGTTCTGCCCCAGCAGAGGTGATGACACCCGAACTGGCAGAAGCACGGAAGTAATCATACCCGACCTGACAGAAGCTTAGGAGTGAGTGCGCGAAGTGGTTATAAAAAGCTCTCTACCCCGCAAGAACAAGGTATGCAAACTTTGCGCTATCTGGTTTTATCTTGCCTTTGAAGGATTCTAACTTGAGCTTCGGAGCCTTTACACTGGGTTCCCCCCAGACCTTCCTCATCTTCTCCATTTCAGGTTCCCTGCAATTCAGTTCAGAGCCAAGGTCGTTGACAACTAAGACCGGCCGGATTGCGCACCATCAATTGGCGTCGTCTGTGGGAAACGCATCAAAAAGCCTCCCTCCAAACTCTCATAACCTCTTTTCTTCAAAAAACCCAACACTCATGTCTTCTTCCAGCAATGCCGGACGTGGCACGGAGACAAACACCACCGGGGAACAACTTCAAGTCCCCATGGTGTGAGTTGGACAGTTCACCATCCCCCTTTCAGTGGATGGGATCCCCAGCTTGAATGCACCACAAGCAGTGGCGCCCGTAAACCTTCCTGCCATGAGCATCCCCTTTCCTCCCCCTATCGAGACAACCTTCACTGAACCAACAGCCATCCCCCTGGCAGCCAGCCAAAACCGGTTGGACGACCTGATGCAGTGCATGCGAGCAATGCAAGCCCAAATGCAACAGTTCCAGCAACACCAGCTCCACCAGCACCAAATACTGCACAACATCTCCAAGTATCACTATCAACAGCAGTTCCCCCAACTGCCGCTGAACCAACCACTACTTCCACCTCGACACCCCGCTCCGAGGCCGGTTAAGGCCTCCCCACAGGATGGACGCCCCCACCAGGGAAAGGCCTCCCGGCCCCAGAACCCCCTAACAGCCAAGCCTCATCCCCCGGCCGAAGAGAGAGAAAAATCATCTCCGCCTCACAGCTCACCGGCGGGTTAGGAACCTCGCCCGCAAGGTCGGCACCTCAGCGCTCCAGGCCCGAGTTCCCGCTCACGGAAAACCGATTCGG